TCTTCCCCACACGTCTTCCTTCTCTCTGCAGCAGCCCTATTTTTAAAGAAGGCGAGTGGTGCCTCTTGCCCTAATGTTAATCTTCCGCCTTTTGGAAAAGGATTTGCGGATAGTGATGCATGAGGGAAGCGAACATACGCCCCAGGTTAGTACCATTTTATCACTAGGTTAATATTTCACTCAGCACTAAAGTGCTTTTTATAAATAAATGTTGATGCAGCAGTACAAAAAAGAAGTAAAATGCTATTTTAAAAAACAATGTGTCATTCTTTTAGCAAACTGTGCCACTGTTTTAGAAAGTGTTGTTTTCTGATCTGCAGATTTTTCCTCAGAACTTAAGCCACTCTAAACTGAAACCATCTAGTTACAAACTATTTCTTTTGAAGCACAGACCTGTCTTCATATCCCAGTCCTAATTTAACAAAAAAAGCAGTCCCTTAGAATTTTATTTTGAAATGCTGTAGCATTTTTTAAACTACCTAAAGTTTCTGGCATGTGTGCATGTGTTTAAAGATTGCTGTAAAGCATCTAACATTTTTCAGAGTATGTTTACAAAGCATGAAAGTAACTAGACAGGAGTGCTTTGCACTAAAAGGCTTACATAGCATTTTTTTTTTTAAGGATACAGGACACTGGTGGAAAAAGTAGCTGCTTGGTGAATTACATGCTTTCCACCCACAATCACTGGTGCAGCCAGGACACTGGGAGAACAGAAGTGGACAGGAGCGACCACTTCGTGTCCCCCCGGTTTTTTCACACCACTTCCTTTGCCTTTCTCTGCACTGGGCAGGTGGGGAGAGGGGAAGCCATTAAGAAGGGAAAAACCAGACAGGTGTCTAACGTTTTCTGATTGCAAGCACCCAAAGAGCAAAGCAAACCCAGCTCCTTTTGGAAAGGACGACCTGGACGGCTGGGCCATGGAGACGGCAGAAGGGGAGGCTCGAACCCAGCCTTCGCTAACCAGGCATGCAGATGTGTTCAGCTACACCTCTAAGCATGCTGCCTAGGAATGATGGGAGTGGTAGTACAGTATATCTTTGGCCGCACCAGGCTAGGGAAAGCTGAGAGCTCTGAAGACTTGCGGTGATCTTAGAAGGCCTGCCGCCTTTTGGTTTCTTCGCCCATGAAACAAACACGTCGCCTCCCCATCCTTTGGAGAGCAGCGTATCTCCTTCCGCTCAACACCCCTCTTTTTTCCACCATGCTTATTTCTCAGCCGGAGTTTTGTCCTTTCCTTCCTCTTAGGTAGCTAAGATGGTCCCTGCCATTTTGTCCTCCTGCACACAGAGGGAAATCGCCTGGAACAGTCGCTCTTGGTGGCAAACGAGTGGCTTTGCAAGACAGCCTGCCAAGGCCGGCAGAACCAGGACCCCCCCCCGCATGAGCCACCACCTCGGGCAGAACTCTCCAGTTGGGCAAGTGAGCACCTTGTGCGATGCTGAGAACTTTCTGCCCCCATGAAAGCCAAGCAAAACATGAGGCCTCGTGCTGCCTGCCAAATCCTGGGCGGGCCAATCAGAGGGGGCTTTCAGGGGCAGAGGGAAGGGGCGTTTCTCCACGCCACAACACAGCACACGGCGGGGCAGAAGTGGCGCACCAGCCCGTGGGGGCAAGCACACCTTGCCCCCATGGGCCAAAGAACCTGGGGAACAGGAAAAGCCAGTGGTGTCCAGAAAGCCCTGGTTTTCTGCACTGCTGTACTTTCTTGGTGGGGGCTTTCATTGCATGCCACCCTGAGGCTGTTTTACAGCCAAATTTACATTTTTATAAACAAAGAGAAGTGAGAAGCCCGGTTCTGGCACAGCTCTGCCATTCGGGAGAAAATGTGGGGGGACCACTGAACCCACCTCAGAGCTTTCATCATGCAAACCAGTTCAGCTCAGCTGCCATCTAAGAAGCTGCCCATCCAATTTCTTTAGCTCTGCAGCCAAAAGTCATAATTATATAGGAGTATTTCATTTGCGGCAACTCTCCACCCCCTCCCCGCACCCCGCTTTGTGTTTTTTTGAGCCGACCAAGGAGGATGCTGAATATTATATTTAAAAACACAGCCAGCCATTTGTTTTGTGGTAGCGAAGGCTCAGTATCAATCTTGTGCATTTAGATGAGAGGTTAGGGGGAACTGTTTTTACCAGAGAAAGGCAGTTTGTGCAAACGGCTTTTAACATTCCATTAGGAACTGCCTAGTTTCAAGGAATCATAATTTTGCTGAGTAGCACATTTGCTTTAAGACATAGAACGATAATGGTAGCTTAAAGCATAATGAAAGGCAAATTTGTAAGGCAAGCCCATTTGACAAGTGGCAGTGTTGTTTTTAAGTACCTGAAATTGTTCCCCAAACTAAGCATGCGCGGGTATCGTGGGAGGGTTGGAGGGGGACAGCTCCTCACCACCTTTTGAGCTAAAAAATATCTTTTTTAAATTTATAAAACAGCATTCGGCTCTAGATCTGATTTTCCCTGGGGCAACCCATATAATTGCATTTTATTCCACTCTGGAAAAACAGTAGGCAAAAATGGTCCCCGTGACTCCATCTGCGAATGAGCAGCGGGCAGCAGCCAACTTCTACCAGTGCCCCTTGGTCGTAAAGTTTGTAAGGTGCTGCTGGTGCTGGGGAGGAGAAGTGCGAATGCAAGGCAGGGTCGCCCACTCTCCTCCCCAGGAGCTCCCCAGATGAGTAAGGAAAGCCTCAGATACAAACATCCCACACTCGCCATCGTGTTCATGATCAAAATCAACCGGAACGGCCGCGTCTGCCCCGCCAGTCATTTCCACAGGCCAATATGAGCAGGTGAGTGGCATTCAGGGAGTAACCCCAACCCTCCCAGCTCAATCGGATGCTTTATCCCATGCAAGTTACTTCTGCTTGTTTGATTTTCTGCTAATATACACTCTGACAGAAACACATTCCCACAAGAGGACTCGCAAAGTTCACACGCCTAAGATCTCAGTCTCAATCCAGCGGAGGAATCTGGAAGCGCACCCACCCTCTGGACACGGGAGAGAGAACAAAGCCCCAGCTCACCCCATGCAGGGATATCTTGAGGGGGGCAAATCAGGCTCTCCTGGGATTGCAACAGGGTGATGGCAGCGAGACCTGGAGCCACAAAGCCCTGTGAAGTGTGGAACCGGCTATCTCATGTCTAGCTGCCCTTTAAAAAATCCAGCCCGAGCATGGAATTTCCTACAGCAGAATGGTTCTAGCCTTGCCTCTTCCCTTTGAGAGGCAAAAAATTGAAGCTGTAGAGCTGACTGCAGACTGGCTAGGGTCAAATGTAGCAAAGTTAGCATTAAGCTAATCCCATGTACATAACCAAGGCTCTGGGACCTGGTCCCTTAAGCCAAACGAGACTGTGACCCTAGGCTCGCTTTCTGGGAACTTCAAGGAGCAGGGTTACCTCCAAGTAATCTGTTCAGGATAGCAAAATGTCAACCTCACAGGAAGTAAAGGGCCAGACCCAAACATGCTAAGTGATTTAGGGATTCCACTGAATTAATTAACTTCAGGATTGAATTCTGCCCAAACTACATCCCTGCCTGGGAACTAGGAAAAAACCGTTCTTCCTCTAAGAGTTCAGAATGCAGATAATGTCTGTCTGCTTACTGGTGACCAAAGAGAAGGGCAGCAAAAAGATTCTCAAGCCCAGAACCTCCTTACTGATGCAGCTGCACTCAGAAAAGGCATCCTCCAACAACAGTCTTCAAGCGGACTTCGAAACTGCCAAATTAAAGGGGTAGTTTCAGAACTGATTCCCCCTTGCTTGCTGCTCCAAGAACCCTCCACTGCCCAAGAACCACTGCTCAGCTCTTTCCCAGCACAACCAAGTGACATATAGTTAAACACTGCCTTGTATTAATACTGAAACCAATTACTGCAAAAATAAAGAGGAAGCTGCAATTTCCCTTGGATTTGTGTTGCGAGCTGCAGACTGAAGCAGCAAGAGCAGGGCTTGGCTTGGAAAACCTCCAGGAGCAGGGGAGGCAACGATCTGCCAAGCCCACTCCCCGTTTCCAGCAGCACCGCCACCCAGCTCCCCCTCCCCACCACCAGCCCGCATGGCCCGCAATGTCCCTCCCACTCAGTCACCCCCAGGGAAGCCCCATTCATCAAGCGCCCGGGCTGCGTGGCGTGAATGTGGAGCAGGGGAACTGCGGGGTTTTGAAGCGGATGGAGACCCGGGTGGCGCGGGGGGGGGGGACCCGAAGTTCACCCTTAATGAGCGGCAGGAAAATGGGGGTCTTCGAAACCGCTCCTAGGCACACATGGAGAACAGTACTTTCGCAGAACGCTCTGCCCCCTCCTCATATATTCGAGCCGGTGGGGCGGGGGCCGCACTAAGCCGGGATGAACGGAAGGCTTTCTTCTTCCTTGGGAGGGAGAAACGAAGTCGCTCTTTCCTCTGCGGCCGGGGAGGGCGATTCAACAGAGGCGAGATGGCCATCTCCTCCCAGATTTCCCGAAGGGACTCGAGTTCTGCCCACCCTGGGGGCCGAGAATCCCCAGTTACTTGGCTCTGGTTTGGCCCATCATCCCTGCCAGAGAAAAGGTCTGGGAAGGTGTCCGAAGGGCCGCGCCGAGGAGCACCTGTGCTAAAACAGAGACGCGGCTCCCCGCTCGAGGACAGGACGCCATGCAGGGGCAGGAAAGAGCGGGGCCGGCGCCGTCACAGGGGCTAGGAACTTGGGATGCGGTGGGAGGCTGGGGAACGCGGGAGTACCCCGAGTTGGGCAAAAGTATTCGACTCTCCCGCGCCGCACCCGCCGCGCCGGCTTCGGGCCGCTCCATCCTGGGGCGCGGCGGGGGCGAGGGGGTCCTCCCGGCGCCCCCGGGCAGCCCGCCTCCGCTCGGCCCGGGGCTTCCCCGGCGCCGGGGCGAGCCCGCGCGGGGCCCGGCGGAGGCGGGCGGGAAAGCACTCCGCACGCGCTCAGAGGCTTGGGCGTCGTCCTTCCGCGCTGGCCCCGGACCGACAGCAGGACTGGGGCGGAGCGGCGGCACCTACCTGGCAGGGCTGCAGGACGAGGCCGGCGGCGCGGCGGGGCGCTGCTCGCCCGCTGCTCGCCCGCTCCGGCTGCGCGGTCCTCCCCGGCGCCGCTCCGGCTCCGTCGGCAAAGTTGCCGCGGCCGCACGAGCGCCTTAAACCCGCCTCCCAGCAGGACGGGGCGGGCGGGGACTGCGCGCCGCCCGCCCTCCGCCC